AGTAGTATATTAATGTTTTTGTGTTGTATGAAGATCTAATACACACAATTAAAAGAAAAACTGATAGAGAATACGACAGTTTTTATGTGAAAAACCTGAAAGAAAAAAAAAATCATGAAGCCTCGACCCGTTGAAATAATTTTACCGTGCTAATGTATGTTACATAAATGTGATGATCCTTGAACCATTGAGAACGATACCATACAAGCGGTGGTGGTGGTGGTCGACAGACGTTGGTCTAGTGATGGTAAGATAGTGGGCGACATTCGACGACAATGCTCCGACAATAGCGATGACAATTGCGCTACGACGGTCCGATGATGACGGTGATCGACTAGTGCTTGACAAACAATAACAGCGCTCGGTCAATGGGTGTCCAATGACAATAGAGCGGTAGTTATTAGACGATGATGACGACGACGTTGGTAGCTGCTAGGCTACGATGGTCAAATGATGATGATGGCTAGACAACAATGTTTCGATGACGGCAATGACAAGGTGGCGATGGTCTGGTGGTGATGGCAGCAACAAGGCAAAGGTGTTCGAGCAGCAGCTAGGTCGGTGTTCTAACAATAGCAGCTACCGACGAAGATGATACGACAGCGGAAAAACTCGACAATCCTCAAGAGTTTGGAAAAACTCGACAATCCTCGAGGTTTATGTCTTCTTTCATGAAAAAATATGAGCGTTTTTATACATTTTGGGAATGACGTTCTTCATAAATATTATATGAACCGAGACCACTCTATTTGACGCCCCAAATCAACATATTCCCTTCATCGGATGATATTTAATGAATATTTCAGTGTCTTACCGATATCAAACTTGTATAACTTTTGACTCATTAGATTCATCTCATCAAGATGCTTGATTTGACAATAAGCTTGTCATATTTGAGTATCATTTTGTCTCTCAAAGTATATCACCAAGCTTCTTATTATGTTCACCTTAGACTCACGTCGAATCATCTTTTCTGTCTTTTGATTCAGCATGCATAGACACTTCATTCAAATTAGCTAGATTGAATGTAATTCCTTATTCATTGTTTGGAGCTCCTGATCATAACGTGCATTGAGATTTATGACTGATTAAGATAATTTTTTGGGGATATATCAATCCTAAATCCTTCAATATTGCTAAGACTCCTCTCCACCCGAATGAACACTATCAGAATATTAGAGGCTTCTAATAGTTATTTCAAGAAGCCATTTAATTGTTTGATGAACAATAGATAATTAATATTAATTAATCACAGATTATAACAAAACTATGACAAATTAAGACAGAATGTGCTAAATCTGGACAAATTAAGACAGAATATTGATATGTAATAAGCAAAAGACAGTATTTTTGAGATTTGAAACCGTTCATAATACTCACTTTTTATGAACTCAAATTCGATAGAATCGGTTCGGGCAAAACTCACAGTCCGCGACATTTTGTACCACTCCTGCCCAGACAATAGTCGCCATCGACACACGGCTACTGCATTTGATGCCAAGCCGCCGCCGCCCACCAATAGTCCAAGAAGTGATAATTATTTTCTCAGGGTATTTAAAATGCATCTTGACAATCATATAATAATTAGGGCTGTCAAAATGGCTAGTTGTTCGCGAACAGCTCGTGTTCGACTCATTAAAAAACTCGTGTTCAGCTTGTTAATTTCGTTCAATAAGTTAACGAGCCAAACACAAACTAAGATGTGTTTGTTCGTGTTCGGCTCGTTTTGGCTCGAAATACTACTCATCAAGTTTA